ACAAGGCAACACATCTGAACACAGAGCTACTACCACAGCACTGCAGGATCACGCGCGTAGTATTTGTGCAGACTCACATGCTTTCACATACGAAGAGCAAGCATTCGTCTGCCCCATTAGCGGGGGCGGGGAACGATCACTTAAATAAAGTCAAAAGGCGTGTTCTGTACGCGAATCACCTAACAGTGTTTCCCCTCGGAGACAACGCCCCTAGTAATATGTCTACCGATCAGGCGGGGACTTTTACAGCACCCGTTTGCAATACATAATGTATTATTCTTTTTTTCATAATATATATTTAAAAAAAATAGTTGAATAGTTAAAAAAAAATATTCGATATAATATAAAAAATAAAAAGAGGTAAAAATAACAACATTAGTAGAGCTTGAGCGAGGCGGTGAACCGCCGACAGCCGCCTGGGCGTGAAACCTTGGGGACGAGATTTCATGGCGTCAGAGAAGAGGATTATCACAAAACTTAAAGAGGATAAGTGATAGGGAATTGGGGCACTGCAAAGGTCGAGCTCCAAGTTTCCCTTATCCCTCTATCCTAATATTAAATCCTCGACTAAAAATTTGATAGGCTTGCGTTAGGAACACACAAAGGGACAGAGCGACAGATTCACACAACAGGAAGGATACACACCCAATAACACAACTCCACAGTCGAGACGCGAACTGGGCGACCAACTACAAGAAGGTGAGCGAGGTGGAGGTATGTCTGCACAGAGAACAAAGGCTCAACTAAAAACTATGACACAACACTACACTACACACCGAACAAAAGACAGACAGTAACAACCAAGCAGACACAACCACAGCACACCAGCGAGCGACCACCACAGTACAGCACCCCCACACACCACAACAAACAAGCCAAACACATCACAAGCGTACATCCAGGACAACGCTTCTACAATCTTCGCATAAACATCACAATAGACGTATCACGCCACGGGTGGAACGCCAGCCGACGCAGCAGATTGGGCATTGCTATGTGTCCGCGGTGATATTCTCTCTCTTACTTGACACCACCACCCCACTCACATCATAGACCATCCATCGACTTAAGGGACATGTCAATATTTTCTTGTACAGTAGTATAATGACAATGTAAAGATTCTAACCCCTAAAGATCGTCCTAATATCACAATGATTTTTTTGCTCTTTTCTCGTATCACACAAACAACATTACTCCTAACGAGCTCTCACACCTAAAGAAGAAACATTTTTATGATGACAAGACGTTATGAATTCACATTTAGATATGCGGATGACGGAGTTTTCTATACATCGGACTACAACATGGATGTTTAATAAGAACGAGGGACTCATCTAGAGACTCTGCACCGTGCTCTGATGCTGTTGTTTTATGCTTTATGAAACAACAGAGAAACATATTCTTCATGACCAAAATTGGAATTGAAATAAAAAATGAAAGTGAAACTTATGCTCGTCACCCTCTCCTTCCGGTCCACATTAATACAAATGATCCCAATACGTATGATTGTATGAACTATGAAAATATCTTAAAATCAATATAAATGTATTTATTATAAACGTTAGTCTTTAACACCTATCACTGTGTATATCACCATTCAAACATCTTTTAAAAGTTGAACAAACCCCACACAGCTCAGTGAAATGTTGACTTTATTTGATCATTTCAGTAAAAACTAACGTTCATATTTCTCTTTTTGATTATAATACTGATGAACGTTCAAAACAAAGCACTTTGGCAACTTACCACATACGTTTTAAAATGCTTAATAAGCATCGTAACTTTCATGATATAATTTCTCCGTCATAATCGTTTGTGTCCGTGAAAGGCAACTGTTGTGTGACGCAAATGCTGCGGCTACAAGGCATTGTGGGGCAGCATTTTCTCCTCTCCTTTCGGTAAGGGAGGTCCAGTGGTTCCTAAGCTAAAGGAGGTTATAAAGCAAGTTTGAAACCTCGGTTGCGTTCCGATAATCCAAAAATCAGCTCCTAAATTTTAACCCTATCTCCTATTCCTTGACCTCTGAGTGAAACGTCACGGGGTTAAGGGATAGTGGATAGGAGAATTCAAAAGGACTTAGGAGAAGAGACTGCGGTACTTTAGAGAATCCGAATGCACTTTCACTATCTGACGTGTTTATGATGCGCCAGCGGACGTCATTGTGTGCGTCTGCTGCTGTGGTGAAACTATGGAAACTACAGTGTTCTATACAGCGGACTTCAACATGGATGTTTAATAAGAACGAGGGACTACTGCAAACTCATCTAGAGACTCTTCACCGTGCTCTGATGCTGTTGTTTTATGCTTTATGAACGTGGACAACAGAGAAACATATTCTTCATGACCAAAGTTGGAATTGAAATAAAAAAGGAAAATAAAATGTATGCTTGTCACCCTCTCCCTCCGGTCCACATTAATACAAATGATCCCAATACTTATGATTGTATGAAAATATCTTAAAATCAATACAAATGTTAAAATGTTGAAATCATCAAATCAGTGAAATGTTGACTTTACTTGATCATTTCAGTAAAAACTAATGTTCATATTTCTCTTTTTGATTATAATACTGATGAACGTTCAAAACAAAGCACTTTGGCAAGTTACCACATACGTTTTAAATTGCTTAATAAGCACCGTAACTTTCATGATATAATTTCTCCGTCATAATCGGTTTCCGTGAACGGCCGACTGTTGTGTGACGCAAATGCTGCGGCTGCAAGGCATTGTGGGGCAGAATTTTCTCCTCTCCTTTCGGTAAGGGAGGTCCAGTGGTTCCTAAGCTAAAGGAGGTTATAAAGGAAGTTTGAAACCTCCTTTCCTTTCATTTGGAGAATTGGAACGGCACTTAACATGGCTGCCACTGACGTACTTCCGGGTCATTTCACTTGGTTAGGAAGGTTCCTAAGCTAAATGGACTATTGGAACGCAACCCTAGACTCCTGGTACTAGGATGGGTTAAAAGCAGAGAACAAATTTCACTGTGTGTGCTCTGCATGTGTGACCATTAAAAGAGGGTTTCATCACTCCCATTCTATTATTAAAATAATCAATTACCTAAAAGTTAAACAACCCAGATTTTTTCAAGCAAGTTCCTCATAAAATAGCATATAATTCCAAATGATGATACTTTTCATACATATAGTTCTACTAATGTAATATAATTTAGGAATTCCAAGCATCATTAACTGAACTTTTGTATATCCTTTACTAGGAACACATTCATTTAGTATCATAGTTTAATTTTCCAAGAAAAGATTTATGCAGACATGCTGAGTTTGCTGGTTGGTTTCCTTTTTGGTCTTTGCCATTCACAACTGTCTTCAGTTTCACTCCGCAGAACTCAGCTCTCTCAAAACTGGCAAATGATTGTGGTAGCAGTTTCACTTTTTTTATAAAGGCCTATCTGTTTGAAGTAGAAAGAGGTGCTTTGACTTCTCTGGCTCAATATGCACTATATCAGTATTAGTAGGTACTAAAATACTTACATGTGTTGTCAGCTTACATATGTCTTTGTCGTTATTCAAGATTGTATAACCAGGTTTTAACAAGTTAAAAATGTTGTAAACTAAAATGTGTATGTCGGGCAAAATAAATGTAATATTGTAATATACAGCTGGTGGCTTTGGACTTCATGCACTCTATAGGCGTCTTTCTAAAGGCCGACACCCAAACTCCCATTATTACCATTGTTGCATTTTTCCCACTGATGCCATCCAGGTCCAGAAACATGTCCAGGTCACAGCCCAGCTTTCCAAAGCCATTCACTGACGAACCAAATGGCATGATGGTGCATTCTGGGAAAAAAGCAGCTGCAATGTCCTTGAGCAGAGAGCAGACGAGGAAGCGCAGTCGGCAGTTCTCCTCTGTTAGCTGATAAGCTTCTGTCAGGGAGGTTATCTGTTGGTCTATCTGAGAGGAAATAAAATCACAGGCTATGGTTAGAATAATCCTTAATGCATATACATGACTTCCATTCAAATTGATTCACAAATGTATATGTCTTTAAAGTTGAATCACTGGATTATTCCAAACTGTAAATCTGGGAGTGATAACCGAACAACTTACACTTTCTTCTTTGGACAGTCTCTGTATGAGCTCGTTGATGGGAATGCTTGTTTGTGCTTGGCGCTTTTTTCCGGATGACTGGTTCGGTAAATCCACTGCGTCGAGGTTCCTCATTGACAGCAGTCTTGATTTAAAAGGCACCAGGGATTCATGGCTGATGCTAGGGATGGCCGTCCCTTCTAGCAATGAGGCAACACTTTCCTGGTTGGCAAATTCTACCACGGCATACATTCCCTATAGAAGAACACCAATACAAACAATGTCATGTTTCAAATGAAAAATAACAGTAAATTGGTCATGTATGCTGGAAAACAATGTTAATTTATAAGAGGGGATTAGTGATTCACTTACATAGCTTTCATAAAAGAAGTATTTCTGGATATCTCCGTAATTTGCTATATACTTGAGGAACTTTTGCTCATTGGTTCTTGAGTGGCAGCTGATGAGGACAGATTTCTCTGCCTGTTCTTGTCTCTCTGCCTGGACAGCATACAAAGATTTGAATCCATTCTTTTCTTCTTAAAAATAGAGAAACAGAATATTCAACAATGAAGCCACAACAATCATTTTCAGTTGTCTTAATTATTGTCATTGTTGTCAGAAGGACTTTGCAGCATTATCTGGTAAATACTTGCACTTTTTTGTCTAAGTGTGGACTTCAATGGCAACAGATCGCAGCGCCAAACTTAATTTTAAAAAATGACAATTGTACAGTATGTGGTATTTGAATATTTAAGGAAGCCACAAATCACACATCAGGTCTTGTTACATATTGAAAAAAACTCTTCAATTCGGCATATAAATCATCCACAAAGCAGCATCTATAATATGGTCGTATATGAAATGAAAGCTAGAATCACCTGACAGAGAGGTGACTTTACTTCACTAAGACACTTTGGTGGACAAACGACATCCCGAATTCAGCCGAGACCCTAATGATTCCATCAGTTGTTCATTTCAATTAAAACAATTACGAGTTTGAGACCATAGCAAAGACAACTTAAAAAATACAAATGTCTAAATGAAGTCACTACACGGGAGACAGGGCTTTCACGTAGGCTAACTTGGTTTGTTTGACAGCCTGTGTTAATAATTCGTGTTTCACCTTGCACAGCAACAACGTTTGTTCCAATATTCCTGTGAAGAAATGTATCGACCTTCTGTAGGCACTTCGCCAGGCTGCCTCTTCCTATCGTATGTAACCTGCACACCGTGAAGGAGGACGCCATTGCTGATCCAAAAGAAGGGGAAATGCGCATGCGCATGGTTTTGTCTACGGCAACAGAGAGGTACCAAAATCGCACACATTGTGACGTTTAAAATATGTCTGAGTAATACATGTATTTTTGATTTGTCATAATTACACTGTAGTAAGCTATATCATTTTATATTAATACATTTAATTTGTTTTAATGAAGTTATGACTAATGCATTTAATCGTTCGAGTGTTATATTGCTGTTAGGATGTATTCAAAGTTTTACATAAAGCAACAAAAGATTTTTTCCCACAGGAAAACACCCAACATTTCTGTAGAAGGTGATGCCCTGTTTCAGCATTCAAGCCACATGAAATTTGTTTTTCGTATGAGAAAACAAAAGAAAGGGAAAACGAAACCTACAGAGAGTAATGCTCTGGCAAATGACATTCAGCGAATACCTCCTCCCAGCGCCCTCCTACGCACCGGACGACTGCTGTTCCTCTGTTTACTTCCTTCTTAACACCGTCCGTCCCCTTCCAGTCAGTCAGACGCTCGAGACGATGAAGAGAGGAGCGGCACTTAAAGCTTCCGTTTCAAAGATTATTACGGTAAGTTTTCCATATCTCTGGCGTTATCAATAACAAGTGGTTTGGTTACCAAATAGCAGCTAACTTTACAGATTGGCTGTAATATACAACATAAATACGATACTTTTCTTTAGGCAGATATCCTGACTACATTTTTTCATTACGTCACATATAAGTAACTTCGTCGCTTGGGCTATTTCTTTAAATTTGAGCTTTTATAGAAATGGAATGACTCTCAACAAATATTTTGCAGATAAAATGTGTGTGATTTGCATGTAGAATGAGTTGGGTTCTTATTCACAGCTTAACAATTATTCATGTTTTTCTGTTTGACACAACATTTTCTTAGCAGCCTGTGTTATATAGATATAAAATAAGTTGCCAGTTTGGCTGGGGGGGGCTTCCCATCTGTAGCCTACTGTGAAACTCCCTTCACAGCCTAGTTAGCCCCTCCCCACTGTGATCCTCCTGCCAGCTGACCTCCTGATGTTTCATTTTTAGGGTGAGCAGCACAAGTCAAGCATCAAGATGGATTATAAATATGACAATGGATTAGAATTGTTGTTGGCTCACATGAATTTAGAAGACATCATCAACGCTGCAGAGACTCTTTATCAGCTTGAAGAAGACGGGGAGGAAGGAGGCTTGTCGTTGGAAGAGGAAAGTCTCTCCCAGGAGGAGATGGACGAAAATGAGGAGACGGGGGTCTCGGGGAGTCAGCAGAAGGACTATGATGATGGGGTTGGTGGTGTTCGGTACGGGACAGTGACAGACCTCTTGTCTTTTGTCAACCTGCTGTCCAACATGCAGACAGCAGCCATGCAGCATCTACCTGCGGAGATTGGAGTCCTACTGAACAAGGTAAGAAGACTTATTTTGTCTTTTGACTGTGCTTATTTGATAACAACAATGAGCATTTGTGTGCATGGACATTCTATAACTGTTCCTTAATTGACCTTGCAGAAGGACATGGCTGTTAAAAAAGGCCGCTACCAGATCAACATAGACGTGCTCCTCTTTCCATGGAAGCTGACCTACAAGAATCATGGCACTAGCCTTGTGCCTAAGGGATCATTTGGGAAAGTCCACTTGGCTCAGGACACCAACACCAGGAAGAGAATGGCTTGCAAACTGGTGAGGCCTGCTGCGCAACAGCTGGAATTCAGCCTGCCCTGACTTCTCGAAAGTCTTACAATAGTTGCCAAATATTTCTTTTGCCAAGTCATCTCTGCTTACCAAGCATCTACCCCTGTGTTTGTACAAAGAATGTTAATGTCAGTATGACATTTGCTTATTTTCCCTTGAAGTAAAAGAGGAACATAGCTAGTAAAAGAAGAACCATTTTTTTTGTAACAAACTAAACTTACAAAATGGACCAAGATTAATGCAAGAATGGAAATTGAACAGATTCCACTGCTTCTCAGGATATTTTTGTCATATTCATAATGAAAGAGATAAATCAGCATGCTGTGATGTAACTCCTAATTTCCCAGCAGAGCTTTCAAAAGACATTCCACTCTTTTACAATCTTTCTGACCCTGCATTATTAACCTGAGGGGGTGAACAGCGTGTTTACATGGAAAATATTGACATATAAGAAAGGAGTTGTGTCATACAGTCTGGTGTTATCATGAGGATGCTATGTGGACACAGTGTGTTGTACACCTTGTTAAACACACAGTGACAGCTTACTGGCAGCAGTTATTATGTTTGGTGTCTGAGTTACAATAGATTTCCTGCATGTTAGAAGACAGACCTGTTATGATGCATTACATATTTACATTATTATCTTCACAGATCCCTATGGAGCACTTCAAAGCAGCCGATGTGGAGTTCCAGGCCAGGTTTCGCCACGAGAACATTGCTGAGCTCTACGGCGCTGTGCTCTGGGACCAAAGTGTCCACCTGTTCATGGAGGCCGGAGAGGGGGGCTCGGTCCTGGAAAAACTTGACAGCTGTGGGCCCATGAGGGAGTTTGAGATCATCTGGGTGACCAAGCAAGTCCTGCGGGGCCTGGAGTACCTGCACTCACACAACGTCATCCACCACGACATCAAACGTAAGAGCAAAAAACGTGTTTTTCACTTATCGGGTGTTATTGAGTTGCAGTAAGCTTGTGCACATCATTCTGCAAATAATGTAATGTCAGTTTTTACGCACCCTACGTCAAAGTCAAGCCACAGACGGATACATTTCTTGTGAATAATACTAGAGGAACAGAAGTGCAAAACCACACATATCCGACACAGACATTCTTCCACACTATAATAGACATAGTATTTAGTATATTTATATATATTTATATTTAGTATATTTTAGTATAGAGTTTCCTACTCATAGAATTTGACTGACACATTTTGAGGAAGTGTAGCCATGTCACACTGTCTGGTAGCTAATGATCTAGATTACAAAAAACATTCTAATATCAGTGGGTGGGGCTCAGCAGAGGTAGGATGTGAGGTAGTTTCACGTTAGTTGAATTACATGGCGCTGCAGGGATCAAAGCATTCTCCAGAGCTGGCTGTCAACCTCATAGTTGGGAAATTCCAGCCTGCTTCTAATGCTTGCTCAGTGTTAAATGTAGGGTCCAGAGAGGCAAGTGACTCATGACAACGACCAGACTAGCCCTCTGCCTAGCTGCGGTTTTTAGTGCTTCCTGCCTGAGATTAAAATATGTAATTATACCTTAGAGATGTCTAATGATGATACTTTTCATCAAAGACTTTGCTAAACACACGTTCCATGCTTGACTTCACTGGTCTTTTCCCAGTTAAATTCCCTGTAAGTGCCTAATTATTATCTCATATGCCAACCTGCACAGCAAAGCATAAACAATGAAAATGCTGTGTCTCATTTCTATTATTTTGTCTGTTTTATTCAGCCAGTAACATTGTCCTGATGTCAGACAAGGCAGTGTTGGTGGACTTTGGCTTGACGGTGCAAATGACAGAGGATATATACATTCCCAGAGACCTGAGAGGAACTGAGGTAAGAACTTAAGTCCTAAAGGCTGCAACTGTAAGCCCATACTAATTACTTCAAGCCATAATGTATTTTGTTCTTTGCAAATGCTTGGTCCAATCATTACTTCTATTTCTATCTAACCCTTAGTGTGGGTTTTTACTGGAAAAGGCAGCGCTCTTTTTGACTCTCAGTCTTCATACTTGTGTCTGTCTTTTTCAAAATGATTGAAAGCAAATGATAGGCAAGTTGTTGCAGAGCAGTCAGCGCACTCATCGACCTCACTGATGTTAATAATAGTCTGCTCATGCCGAGGGTTCTCATTACAGATGTAATCAGCACTTTGGACATTTTAAGATTAATCCAAGAGATTGCTCACATGCTTTTTCTCACTTCATGTATTTTCCTGGCTTTCCCATGTTTTGACCTGTGTGTGTGTTTGTCTATATGGGTGTTTGCACATGCACCCTAGGCCTCTCAAGGCTTGGCTTGTGGAAAGTCTCAGGGCAGACACCCAGCAGTAATAATAAGAGACAGAGCTACCAAACAACACTGGGCTGCTCAGGCTTACTTTAACATGGGAAAGCAGGCTGGAATTTCCAGAGATGAACTGTGATAGTGTGTTTACTTTTCACTCTCCAAAGGCCAACACGCTTCTGCACTGCCATTAGCTGGTCACACACAGCGTGGGTCTAAAGGTTATCTTGTTTGTTTTTTTAAAGAAAAAAACATTTGACTGCAATAGGTAGTTTCCTGTTTTGTTTAGCACTGATACATAGTCCCTACAGAGGGTTCCCTATGCTGTACATATTGTAAAGCCCCCTTAAGCCTATGTGTCATTTGTGGTATTAGGCCATAAATAAAACGTGATTGATTTTTTTTAATTTGAATTGGAAACCAATAAAAGAGAAAATACCGTCATACCTTTTCTCACTGTTATCCTCTGCAGTGGTATTAAATCTAATAAATGTTATGTCATATTTTTTAGATGTATATGAGTCCAGAAGTGGTTCTATGTCGAGGACATAACACCAAGACAGACATCTACAGCTTGGGCACCACCATCATTCACATGCAGACTGGCAGCCCTCCATGGGTCTTGAGATACCCTCGCACCGCCTACCCATCCTACCTCTACATTGTAAGTACTGCACATTTTTTAAAAGCCACACTTGGATCAGGGTGTTGCTATTGGATGACGGCCAAAACATCACAAACATTTATTGTTTTCAGAGGTTAAAGCTATTTGACTTAAGTGATCTCTAGCGCCACCAATTTGGATGGTTGATCTTTTTGTTTAATAGTAAACAACAGCTAGATTTTTAGAAAGCTTGGTAAAGCCTATGCCTGTGTGATAAAACAATAGTTAAATGTATTATGATATACACGTCGTTTGCAAAAACGTTCAGTAGTTTAGACTGATTGAACTAGCTGGTTAGCATGCTAATTTCAGTTCATATGCTACTATTGCCCAGCCCTAGTGCAGCCAGTTATAGTGCCTGAACTATTACAACTATGACAGTAATTTGAGGAAAAAGTTTATATCTTTCGAAGATTCAACCGTATAATCACAGAACTACAAAGTTTTTTATGACAACAAATCAAGTTGTGGAGCTCAGCTTGGATCCGTCAGAGAGTTTGGGTTTTAGCAATAAGCCTGACACCTACTCAAAGCCAGTAAAATAGCTATCAAACCGCATCACACTTACATGCTTTACTGTCTATCTTGAATCTTGCAACATTTGAAAAAGTGACGCTCTTTTCCGTGACCTTGTTCAGACCTTCCACAGCCTAGATTTTTAAAAAGATAAGAAAGGCTTAATGTGACTAGTTGCAGTGTGTGACTTTTCGCCCATTTAGTTAGTCACTACTTCTGTTTCTTTTAAAGGTTTTCCATTACATGGGTTCTTTGCTTTAAAGAAGTCCCATTTCTGTTTTTGAAATGATTATCAGCTCTTTTGATTTTCTCACTTCCCTTATGAAACTACTGTCATGGAGAAGTAATGTTACGTGGTACAGTTGCTGCTACAGTCTGAGATGTCCTTCTTATCGTTGTTCCTTTTTACTACAACTAAATGTGTTTTACAAGTTGCTACTCACAATGTCAAGAAAATAGGTGGCAGCTGCTGGAGGAATTATGTGGCCCTTGGCAGTGTTCTAATGCCGTTTTTGCATATCTCTTTGAACAGATCCACAAGCAAGCCCCGCCTATGGAGGACATAGCGGAGGACTGCAGCCTGGCCATGCGATCCTTTCTTGAGCGGGCCCTGGAAAGGAACCCTGCTCTGCGCAGCTCTGCGTCAGAGCTTCTGAAAGACGAGGCCATCAACCCCCCCAGAGAGGATCAGCCTCGCTGCTGGAGCCTTGACTCAGCCATGGAGGAGGCCAACCACACCATGCTACGCCAGCAGTGCCAGCACCATGACACCACACAGGGTAAGCACCTACATGTTGAGGTTAATTTGGTCGCAGTACTAAGATACTTGCCATATTGAAACATGTACTCTTTTCACTTTTCTGCAGATTCTTCTCTTTACTCCGAGGACTCTGGCCACACGAGGAGGAAGGGCTCCTTGTACATTGACCTAGGGGCCTTGTCGGGTTACAGTAAACTGGTGACCGGGCCCCCTACTGCGGAATATGGCTAGCCCCGGACCACAGCCTGCCAATTATGTGGCTGAACTTTAGTCAAAGGCAATTGATGATTTAACCTTTTTATACATATTGCTCTGCTGTTATATATCCGAGAGCTCAAGGCGACATAGGTCAGGGATGAACTGCACTTATTTACAAGTCTGAGGATTAATGGAATGAGCTCAACCTTGATGCTGAAATGGGCTGATGTGAGTCAACTGCACTGCAGGACAGTGGTTGGAAGAGATGTACTGTGTATCATTGAGCATTAACTGTCAGCTATTGGTATAATTCCCAGAGCTCTCTGCTTCTTTCTGGTGGATGCTATGTTCTTTTCTTGTGAAAATATGAGTTATAGTCTTTAAAAAAAAAGATGAATTACTAAACATATGTAAGGTATTTCGTTAAAGTATGTGTGCACTATGCAAACATATCTATGTAGTTCTTTATGAACTCCCTCTTGTTAATTCCTGTGGAATATTAATAGCATCGTAAGTGACACTTCTGTGGAATGCATGTGATTTCCTATTTGTGTTTTGTACATCCTTTGAGATGAGGTCTGATGTTCTTCTCACCAATAAAATGTGTTACTTTTAGTTTTTAGTATTAAGAATATAAAGTTTGAACTTGTTTCATGATGCAATACGTTAAATAAAAATGAAAATCCAATTGTGTCTGTGATATCTCAGTTATATCTTGAGTATAACATATTACAACCTTTTGTTTTGAATCTTATTTACTGTTTAGTGTTTTGTGTTAGTTCAGCTGTTGTTTGTAACACAGTAGACAGTCAACAGATGGCCCTGAGGCTCCAAAAGTGGCAGACTTGCTGTTAATTACGATATGTTCCCATTCTCTTTGGTTGGGCTTTTCTATTGTTTGGTTGCTACAGGACAGTTGAAGTCCAAGAAGGTGATAAAGTAGTTAATACTACACTGCCATCCAAAATAAAAGTTGCACACTAATATTTATTTGGACCGCCTTTAGCTTTGAGGAAGGCACGCAGTTGCTGTGGCATTGTTTCGATAACCTGCTGCAATGTCACAACATGCATTTCTAGGCAAAGTTGCATTCATTTTACGCCAAGATCTTGTATTGATTATGGGAGAGTCGCACTGCTGCGCAAAGTCTTCTCCAGCACATTCCAAAGATTCTCAATGGGGCTGAGGTCTGGACTCTGTGGTGGCCAATCCATGTGTGAAAAAGATGTCTCCCTAAACCAGTCATTCACAATGTGAGCCAAATTAATCCTGGCATTGTCATCTTGGAATATGTCCGTGCCATCAGGGAAGAACAACTCCATTGATGGAAAGACCTGGTCATTCAGTATATTCAGGTAGTCAGCTGACCTCATTCTTTGGGAACATAACCTGACCAACTGCAGAAACCCCAGATCATACCACTGCCCCCACAGGCTTGCACGGTAGGCACTAGGCATGTTGGGTGCATCACTTCATCCGCCTCTATTCTTACCCTGATGCGCCCATCACTCTGGAACAGGGTAAATCAAGATTCATTGATTTGGTTTTAATAATGCGTTGGACGGTTCTTAAACTTTTAGTAGTTTCAGTAATCTCCTTGTTTTCTTTGCTTGATGCAGGCCTATCATTTGAACCTTCTGAAACTGATTAACATCATTTCCACGACCAAAGGATATGTCTTCCGAGTTCCGACATGATTGTTTAAAGAAATTAGAAGCTACTCACCGCATCACCTAGGGTAAAATAACTTCTTGCCAGCTGAAACATATTAAACATTGCAGTAATTATCCAATGGAAGCCTCTTACAGATTTGCTTTTCCTTTCTTTTGGACGGGCATTGCATTATCCAATATAATACAAAAAGTGGACAACTGCTAATGTTCCATCTACTTGTTTATAGTATGTCATCAAAAGAGCATTTAAATGGTAAAGAAATCACAAATTTCTCAAAAACATTACTTTTTTATTGTTGTCAGTTAGTGTATGGGCAGTATCTACTACTGATATGCATCAGAGGAACCCAAGTTCCTACATCAGGCCTGCTCTTTCTCTTTTAAATGTCACATGTGAGTGAGCATCAATCTCTCATGTGGAGTTGCCTGCTTCAAAGCCTGATCTGAAAGTGGCAGTATAGGATATGTACTGGTTCCCCAATGAATGGGAAAGACAAATACTACCATCTGCTGGTAACATTAGATATAACTTACTGAGTGAACCCACTTTTAATCCATTGTGTTGCTGCTGAGGGGATACATTTTTGTACATTTTGTATAAATTGATAGCTTTTAACGAGTCTCCAATATCAACTGTAGAGGTTACTGTTTTTCAAATCTTGATTGAAAAGAAACTGTCAACATGTAATGGACAATGTCATGCTGCCGTAAATCTGTAGGTAAGCACAGCCTAATGACTTCATAAAAGTGTTTGAGACACATTTTAAGTTAAAGATGTTACACAAATTATAGTAGGCCTATACATAAATACAAATGTTACTGAACAGTCTACACAAGCCAAGTGCCTTGAAAACATATTGTAAACGGTGTAAAAATGTGTGACAAAGTCAATATTATTACATTCGTAAAAAAAAAATTTGATTAACTGTTTTTAAATAATTGCAAGACAAATCCACTTGATGACCATGATGATGCACTTCAAAAGCACAACAAACCCAGTGGTTTGCAGATACAACAACACACCATTCAAACATAATGCAAAAGGCTAGCAGGCTAGGCGTACATGCTCAGCAGCAGTGACGTGCGGTGAGGTTCATGGCTATTGAGGCACTGACTCTTTCAGAGTCAGATTTACAAATATTATATTTTGACCTTAATCAAAATATTCGGTTATTTTCAAAAGCTTTTTTAGTCTGATGCTTCAATTCATTTTAAACCGACCGTTCAACAAAAGGATACCCAAAATCAAAATATTGGATTGTTCTTTCTTTGTAAGATCCCATTTTCATTAAAATTGCGGTCTTACCTTGACTTGAAGATTAAGTCCATGCTCTCCTTCTGGACAACAATCTCTATTAGTTTTTTGTAAAAGTCCTCCTTATCTTCCTGTAGTTTCAAAAGTCTAGTTTGTTGTTTGTGTCTACCGTCTCTGCGTAGAATAACAGTAGCAACAAGAACCTGTAGGCTCACGTGCGCCCCCTTCAGTGCGGCAGAGGTTATGGCTGCCTCTCCTGCTGCTTTTTTCATTGCCGTTATATGATGAGACCAGCGAGCCTAAATATCATATATACATTAAATAAGTTATTTAGAGACTATGGATGGCGAGGATACATTTAATAAAGGGATCTACAAACATTACATTGGTGACCTACAGTGAGAAGGTAACAGGCATGCGCTTAGGGCCCGCTTTCCAGCCAGTTTCTGTGGGTTGACACATTCTGAGGTGAGGCAGAGCTCATCTGTGCCTCACCTCACCCCACAGTAACTGGCTTGAGCGCGCTCACAAAATAAGTGCCCGCGCTAAATTAGTGCCCGTGGTCCAGCAAGTTACTGTAACTTGCTGGACCACGGGCACTAATTTAGCGCGGGCACTTATTTTGTGAGCGCGCTCAAGCCAGTTACTGTGGGGTGAGGTGAGGCACAGATGAGCTNCTTTAGGAATTCAAACTATAACATATAATAAGTACCCTGTATCAAAATTGATGCAAAACAAGTGACATTTGACCTTTTTCAATCAATCAATCAATCAATCAATCAATCAATCAATGTTTATTTATATAGCCCAATATCACAAATGTTACATTTGTCTCAGTGGACTTCACAGTTTGTACAGAATATCAGTATGACAATACGACACCCTCTGTCCTTAGACCCTCACATCGTACAAGGAAAAACTTCCGGAGAAAACCCACAGTTCAAGCTGGTATTATGAGATGTAAAATCAGGCCCTTTCAATGCCCTTTAAATACATGGACTGTGACAGAAATTGAGCGAGGCAGAAGGCCACATTCACATTAGTATGTATTTATGACTTTATTGCATTCAGTGTCTTATCTTTGTTTAGAATAAAAAACAGTTCAGCCATTTCTAAATATGGGAATCTAATTATTAGATAGATTTTCTTTATTTAAAAAGAGTTGAAAGAGAACGATAAGTCTAGTCTATTCCTATAATAAAAATTGCAGGAAAACTACATTATCACATCACTTAGAAGAAACGTTTTTTTTTCAGAATGATGTTGTTCTTGACTTATCAATGATACGTTTGAACTCAAACCCTGCGTAAGACTGCATGTATGGAAACAAGGACGTGATATAGAATGCAGTTTTAATATGGGAACGTTATTTTTAGGAGACATGGTTGCTTGAGCAATTCTTCAGTGTGTAAACATGAGTAATAAGTGAAGACGAGCAAAATGACAGGCATGTGAGTCCGTATTCTTCACTGTCTGGTTATATGTCTCCTCAAGTTACAACACCATCAATCACTTGTATGAGAACAGAGATGGACGCATGCACAAAATATCAGAAGTACACTTTTAAAGATCTGAACGTGATGTTTGTTTGTCAGCGCCCATGCACACTTGGTAGATATTTATATTATTGTTAACTTTGTATCCACTCACTTCATTTTGCACATAGGCCTACCATGTAACCCCTGTCCTGCAATTGTATACTTGTTTGCTTTGCTGTTGTTGTTCAAGGTATGTTCCAGTTAATAGAGTTATAGGGAGAGTAGCTGTGGTATTTCCAGAAAGCAGAATTGAGGTCTCTCAAGGTCTCATGCCAATACAGCGGTGGAAGTAGCTGGCTGACACATAGAGCATAACATTTTTTTTTTACAACATTTGCCTGCAGGGAGGAAGTTTAATGAGGTTTTGGTGTTTTCTGGTTTCCTATTAACTTTGCTATTAATTTGATTCGTTGTATTTGACCCGTTGCAAATCCTTCTTTTTTTTACTCATTATTATGGAAGATTACAATGCCCTGGTTGGTAGAAAGCACTGCCAGGCCAGACTATGAGCCTCTGCATACAACAGCAACAATAAGCACTTGAATAAATCCAATTAAATCCTGTTTAATCTCATTAATGTCCTTTTAGTGCGTGGAACATTAACAGTTTCAATAGCAATAAAATACAATACACAAACAAAATCCTCTCATGCTCCACTGGTAAAGAGGAACTGATCTTCAGGCCACAGTCTCTGCGTGGTTTCATTCACTGTGTAAGATGAGTACATGAATTGCGGGAGACCAATTGTGGCATTTTACTTATTAAAGTCTTTAAACTCCAATTAACGTGTATAATTATCTGATCCTTCTGGAGTAGGATTAATGAAGCTGCTCAGCCCCCCATCTGCTGGTGACACTGATGCTGTGTGTGTGTCCTGTATCCAGGTTTGTGTGTGTTTGTTGGATAAGGGTTTCTATTGGAAAGACATAGCCAACTAAAGGGCGGAAATATCAGGCTTCTCTTCCTCCCCACTGATCTAGCCATCATGTAAATGGGTTTTACATGTGGAAACCATCAACAGAAACATACAAACATATAAACTAAAAGTGAAAAAGACATCTTAACTTGAAGCCTACAAGAAGCAACAAGACCTTGAACTGCATTGAGGACACACCGTAACGATCAATAAATCTTTGACTTTTATTTCTT